ACATCTGTCTAAAGAGTGTGTTGTAGTGGTGCAGAGAACAGACATATGAAGCAGACTAAGGTTCATGACTAATTTGTATCCTGTATTGGTCTAGTAATAATAACAATTCTATTTTTGCAATGTCAAGAAAAGATAAATTTACCCAATGCAGTGGGGGTAAAGGCCCATTGTCGTCTTGATTTAATCTTTCTTGTGTACTAATCAGGTTGGACAAATATTCTAAATATGTGCGTTCATGATATATGCTTATCTCAATAAGAAATTTCTTTGGTGTTGTCATTTTAATTTTCTAGTTTTTGGTTGGGGTCATATACTTTCTAAAAATTTGATCTTTAGCATTGTTTATTCCACGTAGCAACAATTTATTGTTTTGTGTATTTAAAAATCCTTCACAATCTTTGTGAATATTTTTTTCATTTGAATTAGTGTCTTTTGAAGAACATAAATTATGCATGCTAGTATGATCCAAGGTGGTGATCTTTTTTACTCACTGTAATCAGGGATTTTTTTCTTGGTGATTAAGATTTTTCTTTCTCAGGTCTAAAAGATGTATATCCACATTACATTCTAAGAGCCTTTAAGTTTCTGGGTCCATTTTAAATTCTCACCTAACTTAGATTTATTTTTGTACATGATGTACCATAGGGATCCAATTTCATATTTTCCAGTTGGATTTATTAAGCATTCTGTGAAATCTCACAGCCACATGCTGTACAACTTCCAATATTATTAAAATTTATCAATTTTCTGATAGGTATTATTAAAAATTATTTTTTAAACAATTTTTTCAGGGTACCCATATCTGACGTTACGGTTCACTTTGATTTCATGTTTGTCTTCTAGCTCATTAATTTCCATTCTCGTATGTGTCTTTCACTTTAATTTTTGAACTCATTTTTATTCTGTAGCTTTTTAACAGTTATACAAAATTTAATATTTTGTTCTAGTATAAATATTAAATCGTTTAGAAGGGCCTCAAAATGACGTTTTAGTGGCATCCTCTAAGTTTGCTATGTATATCTTGCATTGTTTTTCATTTTCTCGTGAGCTTTGGTTTCCATGATAAGGTCCTCAGTTTGGGTATTCCAAGTCAATATCTTCTTCCTCAGGTCTTTCTATTTCATTCTTTTTTTTCCTCTCTTATTCATGGCAGGTGTTTCATTTGGTTCCCTTTAATGATTCATCCTATTTTTAAAAAACATGAAGGAGTGGAAATAAGCCTTAGTGGTAGAGCTCTTGCCTTGCTTGTATAAAGGTTGGGCTCCATCTCCAGCATCACTAAAAAAATAAAAAAAAAAACCCAAAATGAAAGAAAGGATTAAATCCCATTGCAATTTTAAGGAGCAGAAGAGTTGCAAGGAGTGAAACAGGCCCTGAGGTAGAAAGCTGACCTTCAGTTGGAGGCAGTTTTGGGTAGTCCATGCTTAGGAGATTTGTCAGATATCAAATTTTAAATCTTCAAGATACAGTCGAGTATGTGGACATCGGTGTGATCTTGCAATGAACTTGAAAAATACTGTAGCCGTCTGAACAGAGTCATGAGAAGGTAGAAGAGATTGAATCATCAAATGAAGAATGCAGCCATTCTTCCACCGGCTTGGCCTCTGTAATATTGTAACTTACACTCTTTGAGAAGGTTCTCCATGTGTCTGGGAATGGATCACTTTGGATGAGCTAAGCCTGCTTTCCATTTGCTCCTTAATGTCTGCACGGTTTCTGAATGTGTTAATCCTGGACACATCCGAGTCTTTTCATGGGCAGAAAGATGATCTCTGAAATAATTGCATGTCCTGGTCCCCCACGTGTCTCTCACCTCACATGGCTCAAGCGACTCTGCAGATGTGATTTAGATAAGTAATTTAAGAGGAAAGTTTAATCTTCATGATCTGCATGCCATGAACCATATGGGTGCTTAGAATGCAAGGAGGGAGAGAGTCAATTTGTTCATGCGATGGTAGACAGGGGTCTGAGTAACAGAGCCAGGAGCCGAAAACTGAGTAGCTTTTGCCAGGGGAGGAAAGGAAATGGCCCTCTCCTGTTGGCTGCGCAGTGAATTCATGCCTGAGAACACCTTTATCTGGACTCAGAAAACACAGGGTGAATTTCTGACCTCCAGAACCCCATGATGATACATTTTTGCTGTTGAAGCCAGAGTTGGTTTCAACATGTTGCCACAGTTATAGACCACTGGTTATTTCCCATCCTGAATCCACGTCATGGGGCTTTCTGTAGAGCTTTTCTGATGGCTTCTCTTGCATTTCTTGAAGTTCTATCATCTGCGCTATCGCGGAATTTGGGGTTAGACTACTAAGTACATTTTGTTTGAAAACCCATGAACAACATGGAAGTGCGCGGTTTCTGTACTCTGTGTTCAAGGGTGTTCTCAGACCAACCTTCTCCTAGGTTTGTGTTTGCTACTACTTGAATAAAGATCGCTTAAGAAGAGCATGTGGCTGTAATTTGGGAAAGGGTGTCAACAAAGTGTCTACATTGTCAGTTTAGGCAAAATAAGGCACCCAAATAAATGGTGAGTTTTGCAGCTGGCGAGCACGTGGTGGGATGTGCTGTGCTCTTTTCCTCTCCTCCTGGCGAGTGCTGAGTGTTCAGTCCATGAGCAGCCTGCTCTGCTTCCCTAAAGAGAAGCAGAACAGCGAAGCAAAACAAAACACAGCAAGCACCTGAGTGATGGCTTGTCCCTCCATACAGGGCTGTTACCGTTCATCCGCAGCAAGGGCTGCACAGGGCACCTGATGATGGAATACCTGAGACCCCCTCGGGAGGCTGCCTGGCTCCTGCAGCTGATTCCCCTGCTCCTCCCCTTCATAAGGGATCAGCCTGACATCACCATGTGCTTGAGTGTTTTTGCTGTTTATTCTCTTCCAAAGGAGGTCTGGGTTTGTTCTCCATGCTCAAACCAACTCTAGCTCCACCTCCAGGTAGTAAGGACCCCTTTCCCCAGTGCTTCCACACATCCCTGTTAGGCTCCGTCGTAGGCCTTCCCTTCTCTCCCTTCATCAGAGTCACCCACCCCTACAGTGCAGGGAGCAATTTTACCTCTCATATGATCTAGCGAATGTGGAAGCACCAAAGGCTGATGTGACCAGTGCCCTGCAACCTGCAGTCCTGGAGTTTGTCATTTGTTTGTTCCCTTGTTGGTGTGTTCGTTTGAAACAAATTGTCTGTCTGCATCACAGGGCAAATTAATTTGGATATGTGGTTCCCGGGATGGGAAGTAACCGACAGGGCTCTTTGTCAAGATGAGCAGCAGAGAGAGGGTGTACACAAATGCCTTTTCCGTGACATCAGCAAAGCGCTCCTATAGGAACTTTTGGCATCAGAGACTTGGGATAGTGTCAGAGTACAAGAGGCAATGAAAACAATGTAAAGAAATTGACTGGTGGTTCTCCAGAGACTGAGAGCAAAGTTTCCCATCATGTAACAGAGCTCTTAAAAGCAGCCACTAATCTTAGGAAGACTTGGACATCAACACAGGATTAACACATTCAGAATCACAGTGTGGGGAGTGGGTGTGGGAAGGTGGTTCTGTCGGACATGAGCTGTGGGTGTGAAGGATGGGTGCATTCCCTGTGCCCTGGCTCCCAGTGCCCGGCCCCAGGGTTAGTTCTAGTGCACCATGCAAGTCTCTTGACTCCTGTTGGTGCTGCCTAATTTTTGGAGTGTTGTGTGACTTAGCGGATATCACACATGCGAAATGAAAATCACTGAAATAAAACAAACAATATAGGATGCGGTACAGGTAGGACTTTATTAGGACAAGTGAGAAGAGAAGCCAGAATAGGGAAAGCACATTAGGTTGTCATGAAAGTCACAGAATACTGAGTACATTGAAGCCAACTTATCAAAGCTTGACTTTGCAAAGACCTGGTCTGACAGTCATGAGTTTCCTCAGCTTCTTTAGCTCAATCACTTTGTCACAGCTGAAGGCAGGAATCCAGGTGAGGAGAGGAGGCTGATGAGCAGCCGGCTGAGTGAAAAGAACCCCACAGAGGCTGGGATTGTGCACCCGGGGTCCAGCTTCCTGGACCTGGCCAGATGGTGCTGGCAGTAGGATGACTGTATAATTAACAGAGAGAGGAAGGTGAGTTCCATGGTGCTGGCACTTGGGAGTTCTGTGTAAGGCCGGTCATGGTGCTGTGGTAGATTGTTCAGCAGCTGCAGGGCTGGCAGCAGCCGGATCCGTAGCTCTCGGGGAGGCCACTGCACAGGCGGACACAGGTAGGATAGTAGCAGGTTCTGGTGCAGTACACAGGTCCAGAGCAGGCTGGCTGGCAGCAGGTGGGCTGGCAGCAGGTGGTCTGGCAGCAGGTGGGCTGGCAGCAGCTGGCCTGGCAGCAGCTTGGCTGGCAGCAGCTGGACTGACAGCAGGTGGGCTGGCAGCAGGTGGGCTGGCAGCAGCTGGACACGCAGCACCTAGGCTGGCAGATAGGGGTGCTGCAGCAGCTGGTCACACAGCTGGGCTTGAAGCAGGTCGTGCAGCAGGTGGTCTGACAGCAGGTTGGGTGGCAGCGGGGCTGGCAACAGCTGGAGCCACAGCTGGTTTGACCACAGCAGCTGGGCTGGCAGCAGGGGGCGCTGCAGCAGCTGGTGATGCAGGCTGGTTTCCAGCAGGTGGTCCTGCAGCAGGTGGTCCTGCAGCAAGTGGGCTGGCAGCAAGGGGAGCAGCAGGAGTGGGACATGGTGTCAGGTGTGGCGGCGGGTCCTGGTCACAGGTGACTTTCTCAGGATGTGCTGACCTCTTTCCATTGGGGTCTTTTATACATTGACCCCCCCCACCATGGGGACCAATGGGGAGAGTTTTCCTTGTTTGTTTTCTGCAGTGTATGAGGAAATGTCTTATGGAGGAAGCTCTTTACTAAGTGTTCTCACCCTATTGCCCTTCATAAACAGCTAATCATGCCTAATGCAAGGTGAATGTTTCTAGAACCCATTATCACCTTCCTTCCTGGCCTCCCAGTCATGTTTTCTCTGATAGCTCCTGTGACAGAGTGCATTTCAGGAACTGTGCTCTTTCCGTGGTTTCTTTGATGCAGTTCGCATAGGAAGTGTGTGGAGAGCGATGATCCTGACTTGTGCAGTGTTTTGGACTGCACTCTTCCTGGGTCAGAGTGTGTCCTCTGGAGCAGCTGCCCTTTGGAGTTGACATTAGGCATGTCTGTCTTCAGCATTCTTCATTTCAAGACTTCCAGTTTCAATGTGGAATGTAAGGCTGGGGTTCATTCTCAGGGCTGCCCTTTCCTTCCTGTCTAGGTAAGTAGCATTTTGCCCAGAAATGTACCCGTGTTGCTACCTTCTAAACTTTTTGTGAAGTGAAGTTACATATTTTTTTATTTTGTTTTGCTCTGAATTACGTTTGTGAGCCTTGCTGACTTTGCTTCCAGAGTGATTATTCATTCGTTTCCCTCCCCTTTTTACTTCTCTGTACAAATGGATCCCAGTGGATTCATGTTTTCCTTTGCCAATGGTCATTTTTCCATCATTAGGGCATTTGTGAGTCATGTGCCTCTAAATGAGTATTTCTAAATTCTTTTCAATACCAGCCTGCATTTATGTGCAATGTATTTTTGGGATATAATTTGTGTATAGTAAATTATCTATGTCATTAACATTATTAGTGTATAGTGCTGAACCTTAAAAAGAATCATTTCCTTAATATACACAGCTTACTTTTCTCATTTCTTTAGAACTCATTTGTAACTCAGATTTTTACCTCGGCTTTTAGATATTTCAGCTCTGTATTATTTAGGAATAGTGCATTACAGTTTTAATTGGAATATCCCTGAAGATTAAAGAGGTTAACTTCCATGTAGTCATGAAGCTTTGGTATTTCTCCTTTTGATGTGGTCATCATGCCTTACTATTTCTGCTGAATTGCGTGTCTTTGTCTTATCTCTTCATTCCAGCTTGCTTTATCCACGTCTTTTGCTCTGCAGTCGCTTGCTCTGCTGTGTGTGATTTCACTTTCTTGTTAGATCTTCTAAGGTATTGTAAGATAATGTATCTGTTATTTCCTACTACATCCCAGAAATGCTGAAGTCTTACAATTACACTTATGTGCTCAGTACCCTTGCAATAGATTTACATCCAATATGAGTTCAGGATGACACTTTATGCCCCCCACTTTGGGTGCACACCAAATTGTCCTGGTACAATGGAAAATGGTACCTGGTACCATGGAAAATTTCAGGCTTTTCCTGCTCTATCTAGTGACAACTTTGCAGCCAGTCCAGTGATCTTATACAAACAACTCCCTTGCCCACTTCATGTCCTAGATCAACTTAATGTGTGGGCCAAAAAGAGGTACCAAAGGTAAACATCACATCCTTTCTTGATCACAGTTCTTAAGCATAATCAATTCTTTAGTTGTTGAATGTTATTAAAATTTAAAAAGTTGCTGTTTTTATAAATTGGATCACTGTATGGAAGCACACCCGGTAGAATTTAACCTTTGCTCTGTTTGAACAGAGAGGAAATTGGATAAATAAGCAGGAAGAGAAGCAGAGATCCCACCCAAGCAGCAAGCTGAGGCTTTCTGAGAAGTACGCACCTCAGTTCTGATCTTTATGTCATTTTGCAACCTGGGACATATACTGCAATCTACTCTATGATAATATAAGCCTGGGGTCTTGCTTTATAACTTGAGAAAAGTCACTGTTTAATTTATTCATTGTTTCATTCATTCATTTGATTTCACAAATACTGTTATTCCTGTGTCTATATGGGTTTGATTCCATGACCCTCTAGGAATTAAAAATTTCTGGATGCTCAGATCCTTTCTACAAACTGGCATGGTATTTTCATGGTATAAGCTGTATACATCCCTGTGCATTCTTTAAGTCATTTCTGGATTTCTTTTTGTATCTAATAGATTGCAATGTGTTGTGTTTGTGATGTTGGAGATCAAACCCAGGGTCTTACCAATTTTGGGCAATTTCTGTAACACTGAGTGCCTTTCAACTTCCCCAGTATCTATCAGAAAGTCAATGCTATGTAAATAGTTGTTCTGCTCTGTTGCTGAGGGAATAATAACGTGAAAGAAAGTCTCTATGTGTTTAGTATAGACACATTTTCCCCAATGCTTTGATCTAGGATTGTTTCAATTGGTGGATGCTGAACCCACAGATAAAGAGACTTGGCTGCAGTTGTTAAGTTTGATGTCTAAGGTGTTGGATAGTGCATGGCAACAAGGATCCAAAATGTGTGGGACCTTCACTAAGTATCTCAGCAGGGACGAGGGTCCTCCCTTTGTAAACATCCTGAGGACATGCAAGAGATAGAGTGATGTGGAGATGGTGTGAGTGCTACACATGCCCTGGGGAAGGGCTAGCCTATCTACAACATAAGGGAGGAAGCGAGGGTCGCAGCCCTCTTTTGCTATTTTCTACCACCATAAACAGTTGCCCCTGTGCCATGCACCCTGCCTTGGAGCCAGCTTATGGACTGAAACATCCACAAATCATGAGCTAAATAAATCTTTCCTTCCTTAATTTTAGGTATCAGATATTTTGTTTCAGCAGCAAGAGAAAAGTAACTAAGACAATAAGTGACATCTGTCTAACGTGTGTGTTGTAGTGGTGCAGAAAACAGACATACTAGGCAAACTAAGGTTCATGTCTAACTCATATCGTGTATTGGTTGAGTAAATATAATAATTCTATTTTTCCAAATATCACAAAAAGGATAAATTTACCTAGTGAAATGGGATATAAGGACCCACTGTGGTCTTGATTTGCCATTTTGTGTGTACTAATCAGGTTGGACAAATATTCTAAATATGTGTATTCAGGATATATGCTTATCACAATAAGAAATTTCCTTCTTGTTGGAATTTTAATTTTCCACTTTTTTGTGGGGTCATATACTTTCTAAAAATTTGATTTGTTGGATTGTTTTTTCCAAGTACCAAAAATTTATGTTTTGTGTATTTAAAAAACCTTTCCCAAGTTTGTGAATTTTTTCATTATAATTAGTGTCTTTTGAAGGGATCAGGTTTGCCTCTTATGTGATGCAGACATTATGGAAGCACCAAAGGCTGATATGCCCAGCGCCCTGAGATCCGAAGTTCCAGGCTTTGTCATTGCTTTGTTTCCTGTATAGGGTGTTATTCTGTAAACAAATTCTCTCTCTCCATCAGAGTAAAGTTAATTTGGGTCTGTGATTCCTGGGATGGGAGGTAACCCAAAGGACTCTTTGTAAAGATGAACAGCAGAGAGAGAATGTACACAAATGCCTTTTCCATGACATCAGCAAACGTCTCCTAGAGGAGCTTCTGGCATCAGCGTCTTGGGACAGTGTCTCGAGTACAAGAGGCAATGAAACACTTTTAAAGAAATTGACTGGTGGTTTTCCAGAGACTGAGAGGAAAGCTTCCCATCATTTATTAGAGCTCTTAGAAGCAGCCACTGCTCTTAAGACTTGGACATCGGGACCACGGTGTGGGGAGTGGGTGTGGGAAGGTGGATCTGTAGGGCGTGAGCTGTGGGTGTGAAGGATGGGTGTATTCCCTGTGCCCTGGCTCCCAGTGCCCGGCCCCAGGGTTAGTTCTAATGTACCATGCAGGTCTCTTGACTCCTGTTGGTGCTGCCTAATTTTCGGACTGTTGTGTGACTTAGCAGGTATCACATATGCCAAAGGAAAAGCACTGCAACAAAGCAAATCAGTATAGGATGCCATACAGCTAGGACTTTATTAACACAAGTGACAAAAGAACACAGGGCAAATAACACAATGTTGTCATGAATGTCAAAAATGATGAGTACATTGAAACAAAATTATGAAGACTTGATTTTACAAAGACCTAGGGTGAAAGTCATGAGTTTGTTCAATTTCTTTAGCTCAATCACTTTGTCACAGTTGAGGGCATGAATCCAGGTCAGGAGAGGATGCTGATGAGCAGGCAGCTGAGTGAAGAGAACCCCAATGTGACTGAGATTGTCCATCGTGATCCAGCTCCCCATCTGCTTTCAGGTCACAACTGTTGGATGACCATGGATTATTAGCAGAGTTAGGAGAGTGAGTTCCATGGGGCTACCATGTGGCAAGTATGCTCAAGATGGGTCGTGGTGCTGTGGTAGATTGATCAGCAGCTACAGGGCTGGAAGCAGCTAGTTCCGTAGCTCTCAGGGAGGCCACTGCACAGGCTGACACAAGTAGGGTAGTAGCAGGTTCTGGTGCAGTACACAGGTCCAGAGCAGGCTGGCTGGCAGCAGATGGGCTGGCAGCAGCTGGTCTCACAGCAGCTGGGCTGACAGCAGGTGGGCTGGCAGCAGGTGGGCTGGCAGCAGCTGGACACGCAGCACCTAGGCTGGCAGATAGGGGTGCTGCAGCAGGTGGTGACACAGCTGGGCTTGAAGCAGGTCGTGCAGCAGGTGGTCTGACAGCAGGTTGGGTGGCAGCAGGGCTGGCAGCAGCAGCTGGAGCCACAGCTGGTTTGGCCACAGCAGCCGGGCTGGCAGCAGGGGGCGCTGCAGCAGCTGGTGATGCAGGCTGGTTTCCAGCAGGTGGTCCTGCAGCAGGTGGTCCTGCAGCAGGTGGGCTGGCAGCAAGGGGAGCAGCAGGAGTGGGTCATGGTGTCAGGTGTGCAGGGTATGTTCTGGTCACAGGTGACTTTCTTAGGCCATCAGGCCTTTTGTACACAGTACAACAAAGCTCAGACCAATTAAAACTCATCTTTGTTATTATTTATTGTAATTTTCTCTACCTATTGGGAATTGTTCCAAAGAAGAAGTTGTTCCTTAATGGTTTTAAATTTTCTTTGAGTAATTGATTTGTTTGCTTTCCTGTTTATGAATAACTCACCAGAACTACATCACTAAATGAGAAATCAGTCATTCTCTGCCTGGGTTAAACACTAATCTTCATTTTGATACCAATGTGGACAGCATTGGTCACCTCTGAGCTCTGTGAGAGGTCAGGACCTCTCCTCAGCACTCAGTGAGAGGTCAGGACCATGGACAGTTTCTGACACACCATCCTGGAGTGTACTGACTTTGGGAAATTCTGTGGAGAAGATGTTGTTGAGTCATCGTGACTGGTTAAAACTAAATTTAGTGGAGGGCTGCAGATTTAGCTCAGTGGCATAAATGCCTGCTTCACAAGCGTGTGGTTGTGAGTTTGATCCCTGGTAGCAAAACAAAGCAGAACATAACAAAGCTAAGTTTAGGGGGATTTTTGATAGTACTTGTGATGTAGAAGCTAATATAAGATTTTCTCTCGATGAAAACAATAATAACTGCTGGATAAATATATAAATTATAAGACTATAGTGCAAGGAATAGTGCAGTGTAGATAAGAGACAGACAGACATGGGTACAATCATTACAATTTTCAGGTGTGATATCTGACTTTTGATAAAATTTTCTTGTTCAGTTTAGTAGGAAATATCAATTATTTGTCTAAGAATATGTTTTCTGCCTGTTTAGGAGATATTTGTTTACTTTTGGCCTTCCAAAATTATTCACACAAGTTACTTAAGCAAGGTTTTGAGATTTTATTTTTGATTTTCAAGATAATAGTGCACCTTAAACAGACTGAATGTCTCACTTGAGGTTGATCTTTTAAGGTTCAATAGTGGAAAAGAGGTGGGCTTTGTTATGTAGCTGGACAGTGGAAAGGAATACAAAATAAATTCTTGGAAATATTATACAACCTTGTTCATAATGTATTTTAGTAGAGCACTGAGATATGGAATTGTCTATTTGTTTAATAGAAGTCATAAAAAGAAGAAATTGATGGAGGACTCTATGATACCCCACAGGAGCTCACTGAGAGCCCTGGGTAGCTGGGTGTTCACACATAGTCAGTGGTGTGTTACCAGCAAATAAAGTCAGAGAGCTGGTTGTGATTCAGATCTAAATGGCATCCCCCAAATCTCATGTGCATGGCAGATGATCTGGATCAGGGGGTCCTGATCCTCGTCAATGGATTCAAAGTTGCATGTGGAAAGGTAGCACTGGTTGGACATGGTCATTGGGAGGGTGACCTGGGAGTCCTGGGCTCCTCCCTTCTCTCCCTGCTTCCTGCCTGATGTCAGTTAAACAGATTCCCTCCTCCTTGGAGTCAGCCAACCATGGACTCAAGCTGTGAGCCAACGAAGACCTCTTCTCTAAGCTTCCTTGTCAAGTATCAGGTCCCAGTGATGGGAAAGTGGCTAACACAGGACCAGTAAAGATTTCCAAAGATATACGTGCATAGTTACATTACAGTTTTTATTTTGAAGAAAGAGAACTTGGGAAAAAAAACTCCAAGGCAGCTAAAATATAATTAGAAATCTGTGGCCTGAACCTTGAGAAATAATCAATAAATGTAATGGTGGAAGTGGACAGAATTAAAATTTGACTGCAGACATTCACAGAACAGGGGAATAAATGAAGTTGTATCAGAATCTGGGAAATGCTGGAGGTGCAGCTCCAAGGTCTGCAGAATTTGTGGTGACTGAAAGAGTCTTTAAAAAGAACACAAAACTCTCAAATCAGGTGGGGGCTTGGTGAACCGTGACAGCTCAGGCAAAGAGAAGCATGGTGACAAACATTGCCTTGGGGGAAGCAAACCACCCATGGGCTGGAGTCTCTTAAGAGTTCCTGGTAGAATCTGTTTTGAGACAAACACATTACGTGCTCACAGTTTTCAGGTTTCAGGAGTATGACCATGCTCCAAGTCTTTGCTCAGATGTAACGTCTGGCTGTCACTTCACTCTTTAGGCCGTCAGAAGACAATCTCCCTCTCTAAAAAGCCTGTAACTTTGCAGAATGAGGGGGAGAGACCCAGACTTTACCAGGAAGTGACCCCCACCTGGAAACCAGCCTCATGTGTAGAAGTGGGGACAGCCATCCTCTTTCGGTGAGTCAGTGCCATTTACAGACTGTAGGGGGAGAGAACAAAGCCTCACCAGGAAGCAATCCCTGCCTGGAAACTGTATCATTTTCATTGTTTTGTGTGTTGGGTTTTATTCTCTTTTGTTTCATTTGATTATGTTAAATTTGATGGCAGGAGCAGCTATTTAAAAGACAGCATGGCATATTATGGAAGCCACTTTGGATTTATTATGGGCTTGTTTGAAATCCTTTATTGCATTCATTGTTTTGTTTTTATTGTTTCTATCCTGTTCTGTTCTGTTCGATTTTTACTACACCCAAAGTTATTTGCAGCTATTTTGAAGACAACAAAAGGCATGATGGGAGCGATTACTGATTTGGTAAGGTTTTGAAGTCCTGCATCACTAATACTGCTTTATTTTGATTGGTTTTATTGTATTATTTTCCTTGGTTTTGTCCTCTTTTTAAAAAAGCCTGTGACAAATGCAGCTGTCTGTGAAGTTTTTTCTCACACGGCTTAATAAAGCCACAGACTGAGTTCATGGGCTTTGCCCTTGGGACGAAAGCTATCCCAGGTTTTAGAGTCTGCAGCTCTGACAATAGAACCTGGTAAAAGTTTTAAGGTAGTTAAGTACTACCTTAAAAAACTACCGGAGCAGAGGCTGGGGATTTAGCTCAGCGGTATAAGCGCCTGCCTTACAAGCAGGCGGTCATGAGTTTGATCCCTGGTACTGATAAAAATAAAAAAGACAAAACAAAAAACCAAAACAAAACAAAACAAAAAACTACCGGAGCCACAGAGAGGACAGTACTTTCTGTTCTCTCCAAGGGAATGCCTGAAACCTATGTCTGGTCCCGCACCGTTGAAGCACGCGAAGAACACTTTTAGCAAGCTACAAGGATCTCAAGGACTAGAGCGACCCCAAGGGTCCTGTGGTGACAATCACCTGCCAGAATCTCTGCCTCCTGGGTGTACTGTCCTGGTAACTAAGAATCCAGCAGTGCTTGAGTCCCTGCAGTATTTACAACTCACATACTTGGAATAATGAAGTTCTTTTCATTCTGGGAATGTGAGTTCTATCAGCTCTGGGGAATCCCTGTCAACTTCCTTATCCTTATAACTGAGCCATCTTCCACCCCAATGTCTTTGTGAAATCCCATGCATTTTGGCCTAAACTTTGCCATTTGCTCACCAGCGGGACAGACTGCCTGCTGGACCGGGTACTGCTTTATTCTTCTCACCTCCAGGATGGCGCTGTTTTCCAAAGTCTTTCTCTCTGACCATGCCAGCCATGCCACCTGCTTTGTTAGAGCTGCTTCTGCTGTGTAGTTTAATCTAAGTTGGTGGAATGAGATCCCCGCAGGGTGGCAGCACGGCTGGTGGTCTGGCACCTGTGCCAGGATTGGGGGTTCATAGGTTGCATCCTCTACCTTCTGCCTCTGTTGCCCATAGGGAGCTCCCTCAGTGGCAGCCTCTGGAGTCTTCTCTGTTTTCATCCTCATTTCTCCGTGGGTCAGAGGACACCTGAGTAGAGGACCTGTCACTCTTCGGCTGTGAACACAGATGATTAATCTCCCGTGAATTTCCTGAATCAGCTTCCAGTCTGGAAACAGAAACTTCCCCGAGTATTTCAACAGAGAATTTACTACAAATAACTGCCAGGTATTGGAGAATTAACTGAAAAGGTGAGGTCTTGGCTACAGGAAGCAACGATCACCCTAAGACTGGAAGAGCCCAGCCAGCTGGCCAGATGCTTTGCTGGAACGAAGTCCTCACCTTCCATCTGCTGGGCAGGGTTTGGCATTTGCAAGAATCACGTGTGATGGAGTGACTCTGTCCCAATAAATACTTATTCCCTTGGCAACAGAAGCCTTTTGGCCCTTAATTATGTTGTATGGTGTTGGTTATTTGTTTGGAAAGACATTAAGCTTCTGTCAAAAATGCAAACTGTATCTGTATGTGTTGAAGAATCCAATCCAAAATTGCCAAATAATTAGGTTTCTTTTTGTAAGTTGATTGCCCTTCTAGTTGCCATCATGTCAACTGAGACAAAATGACACATTGCCTTTCAGTGCATTTGAAATACAGGCCAGTTAGCAAGCTCATGGGGTTCTGGGGCACACGGAAGGTGATGGAGACTCCGTTTCCCTACCATGTCTTGCATTTAAGAGGTGCACTCGTGGCAGGCAGAGTGAGTGGGGGACAACAGTCAGACACAGGCATGTGTTCTGTGGAAGAAACTAATATGTCAGGATGGATTCATAGAAATGAAAGGTGGCGAGTCTAAAAAGCCAGGAGTACAGCTGACACAGCCAGAGACAGGGAGAGCGAAGGAGAGCTGGGTGGCTGCTCAATGTGTGTCCCTCTGGAAGGGATGGTCACAAAGCAGGCAGCAGGAAAACACTGCAATCACTAAACGGAGCCTCTAAGCGATGTTCTCTTCCTTCACACAGCACCCCCCACTCCAATGAAATGACCACAGAACCGGGGCTCCATGAGATGCTTTGACCTCTACGGTGACTTCCTGGTGATACATTAGTCTCCAAAAAAGTAAACTTTTGTTGCTCTGAGCACTTGGGTTACATTCCAACTAAGTACAAAACACTGTTATTAATACAGGGGGAAAGGTTAAAACTGCAGTCATAGCATAGACCTTCACACGTTTTTCAAAAAATGACAATTTTGAAGAAGAAAAGTAAAGAAGGGTATAGGGAATCTGAATAGGATCATAATTGATGTAGATGCACGAATATTTATATACTATCTTACACCTGATAAATTGAATTCCCATAATTCTCATATATTCAGGATATTTACAAAATATATCAGGGTACAAAGAAAATATCAATAACAGGAATAATATTCAAAATGTCTTCAAAATTTCCCCCCATTAACCTTGCATCTTAGAAAAACAGAATAATCAAACATGTTCCCACGTATTTCTTCACCTCTTCTTTTCCTCCTTTCTGAATACTTTGGTCTAAGTGGGAAATTGGAATACAAATGATCTAAAGAAAAGTCATGTGTTTAGGGATGTTAAATAGCTGACTATATTAATGTTTTTGGATCATTGAACACAGCTGTTTGCAGTCTCTCCGTTTGAATGTCTACTTTGTATTCTTTGATACTGTGATTTGAGCAACTATTTCCAAGATGATATTATGTAATCTATTAACAGGTGATTTCTTACTGTTATGTTTTTTTTTTGTAGTTATGTATTATGTGTAACCTTACACTGCTTTGTTCTGTTTTGTGTTTTTCTCTTTTTCCTCTTAAATAAAAAAAAAAAAAAAAAAAAAAAAAAAGAAAAGTCATGCTTCATTGCTTTTTCTTAACCAAGGCAGTTTCCCTTATTAGCACATGTTTGCAGTGCCTGGTGTGGGCACTCTCTGTGGCTGACTGGTACATACACAGGACACATCTTACTTCTGTTTATGTCTGTTCTCCCCCCGTCACTCCCACTCCATCTCCTAGTCTCCTTTTCAAAAACCTACTGTCCTTTTTCTTATTGCAGAAAAATCGAAAGAATAGTTCAGAGTCTTTTTCCTTTATGATAAAATGAGGCTCTGTTGCCCGTGATATATAATCATTGTTCACAAGACGAGAGAGCATGACTTCAACACCAAAGGATCCTCCATAACCACAACAGAACTCAAAAACAAGCTGTCGCTCGCATCAGCAATGCCGCAGTGACTATTCTTGAGTGCACATATCACAGGGTATGTGCATCTGTTGAATATATTTCTTGAAGTGAAATTGTTTAATCAAGAGCACGTACATTTAAAAATCTGATAAATTAAGATACTGTCACATTTAACATACTGTTAACACACTATTAAGTTTAAGATACTAAATTACCATCTACAGAAGTTGCTCCAGTTTAGAGTCCAATCATTTGTGTATGAAAATGTTTATTCTCTTATAATTCTATGAATTCATTAAGTTTTAAAGCTAGAATACATTTGTCATTACAAATAATAACTATTTCCTGTTGTACCACGTAGGGTAGGACCTGTGCCCCTATTAAAATGGTAGGTGTTTAGTTGATAATCTGATAAATAAATTGCTCATTACAACATTTTAAAAATTGTGAGTGAAATGGAATGTCTTTCAGAAGTTCAGAAGGCATTATATTGTTTTTTAGTGAAATGACAGTTGATGTCTTACTCAATTTTCTAATTAGTTGTTGGTCTTTTCTCACTAGATTGTAATAGGTATTCATGTATACAAGTAATTAGATTCTTTTTGAGGGATTTGGTTAAGGTATTTATTATTTATTCCAGTTAGTCTTTTAGCCTTTTGGTTTTTTTACCTTTTAAAAAAACAATCATCTATTTAGAATTTGTCTGTTATAAAATAGCTAGATATTTTTCTTTATTGTTATTAATACTTAAGTCTGAGAAAAGCTATTCTACTTCAAATATTGTAAGAAAATAATTTCCAAGTTTTCTTCTAGTACTTTCACAGTTTATTACTTTCTCAAAGGAATCTTCAGAAAACATGAATCACAGTCCCACTAGAGGACTGGTAACAACACACGAATTCCTCAGGGAGATGGGTGGGGTACTGAAGTTCTCGTGACCTACCAGGTGACAGTGATCTCATGAGTCAGGTTTAGAGTCCTTCAAGTTAGATGATGCACCAAAAGGTGTAGAAAAGAGGTGACTCAGAAGAGAAGACTGGATTGGATAAAGCCTGACTCAGAGAATGGAAACAGTGCATTGCATCCAACTTTTATACAGCTTCTTCCACAATTAATTAACCTTACAATTGCTCATGCATTGAGATAAACAATAATAAGGAAACAGTCATTAATGCGGTGACAACGGCAGGGTATAAAAGCGAACATGGAAGACAGGGCTCCACATCTGAGGAACTCACACTCTTGTAAACCCACCCCCAACGTCCAGTCCCGACATCATGGTCAACTCCTGTTGTGGCTCCGTCTGCTCTGAGCAGGGCTGTGGCCAGGAAAGCCGCTGCCAGTCCAGCTGCTGCCAGACCACCTGCTGCAGGACTACCTGCTGCCGCCCCAGCTGTGGCCTGTCTAGCTGCTTCCGCCCCGTCTGCTGCCAGACCACCTGCCGCCCCAGTTGTGGCGTGTCCAGCTGCTGCCGCCCTGTCTGCTGCCAGACCACCTGCCGCCCCAGCTGTGGCGTGTCCAGCTGCTGCCGCCCCGTCTGCTGCCAGACCACCTGCCGCCCCAGCTGTGGCGTGTCCAGCTGCTGCCGCCCCGTCTGTTGCCAGACCACCTGCCGCCCCAGCTGTGGTGTGTCCAGCTGCTGCCGCCCCGTCTGCTGCCAGACCACCTGCTGCCGTACAACTTGCTGCCGCCCCAGCTGCTGAGGAGCCTCCTGTGGAACTTTGTATCTGACTACTAACCACAAATCCCCCATTATCATACCAATGTGTAAGTGTCATCCAAATTAAACTGTCCCTGTCCTCGATGACCACAAGCTTTATTAGCTTCTGATATCAGTCAGAGATTTGCAAAAGAGCTGCACATTAAATGCTACTCATCTCTCCCTTGGGCCTCTCCCTCTTGTCCAGGCCTTAGACACATGGTGCCATTAAGCTAAGCCCTAGAATCCCTAACTGTTATCCTTGCCATGACCTTCATAACAATGTATTAATTATTCTTCAATAAATAATGCCTTGATATCAGAACTTCTTGTGTCTTAGTTACTTTTTACTCGTCACTGAGACAAAAAGCCTGATGACCAAAGTTGGGAAAGGAAAGGTTTATTTCTTACAGTATTTGGAGATTTCAGTCCATACTCAGTTGGCTCGAAGGCAGGGTGGCATGGCGGGCTGCGGTTCATAGCGGCTGCAAACAGCAAGGCAGAAACCAGCAAAAGAGCAAGACATACCTTCTGCCTGCCATTACATTACATCTGGCTCCATCCCTAGGCCAGTGTAGCACTCACACCCCCAATCCAAGCACTAGACAATGAACCAATCACAAGTGCAAATGCAAATGCATGAGACCTGGGGGCCACCCACATAAATCATGACATTCTACCCCTGGTCCCCAGGACTCATGTACATCCTTTATACAAAAGACATTTAGTCCATCTCCAAAAGTTGTCAAAGTCCTAACATTTTTTAGCATTGTTGAGAAGTCCAAGTCCCAAGTCTCCTCCAAGATCTATGGCAAACTCTTAACTGTAACCCTCTGTACAAATGAAACAAGGTTAAACATTTTTGAAATGCAAAGGCACAAGATAAACATTACCATTCCAAAAGTTACAAACAGGGGAATATAAAGCATTGGAAACAAAGCAAGTCCAACATCCAGCAGGGCAAATATTAAGTCCTAGAGTTCTATGCTCAGCATTTGAAGCAGTCTGGTTGCAAGCTCCAAAAGGCTTGAGTGATTCCACCCACAAGGCATTTCAGTTCCTGCAGCTTCTCTCTTAAATGCCCTCTGCTTGCTTTTTGCAGCTTTCCTTGTATGATCCATGTTCCTGGCTTTTCCAAACTTCTGGGATCTCCATTGCACCTTTGGCTTCCCCCTTACATCTTTACAAATTGCCCTCTCAGGGGCACACTGCTTGGCCTCCCAGGCCCTTTGCAATTGAGGTGGAAGCCGTCTTACCCTCAGAATTTGTGCATTTTCATTGCACCTAAAATCAGCACCATGTGGATGCAGTCAAGGTTTGCTGCCAGCTGGAACAGTATCCAAACTTTTCTCTCTCTCTTGGCTGTAGGGGTCGATTGCCTGGATCGTTGGGCTCTGTAAATCTGATTGTGAAGAAAAGTTTTTCTATGTTGTCCCCATTCTGGAACCTCAAGTGGCTTCTGTTACCATTCTGGAGCACTATGCTTTGTAGCTTTCTCCTCTGAGCAAATTCTTTCACTTTCACTTTTGCAGTTTTGAGACTGCAAAGGGTGGGGACCTGCTACTTCTTGAAATTCCCCGGGGTCATCTTTTTTATCTCTGTTTCTTTTTGGCAATCAAAGTCTCAAACCAGTCTTTACAATCCACAGCTTTCCTGGATTTTTCCTTCTGACGAAATTCATAGATTGTAAATTATCCTGATGGGCTCTTTGCTCTTGATTTGCAACATAATGCTGGCTAAAAGCCCTAAACAATAGACATGCCACAGCCTCAACACTCAACTGCCTTGAACTTTCCTTTTCCAGATCAATCAGTCCATTGCCCTTTGTCTCAGTCTCAGGCAAAGTCTCTGGTCATGAGCAAAATGCAGACAAACTTTCTGCTAAGCCATAACACACATCATGGGGAGTCCAACAACCAATGCAGTCCTTCTTCCCAGCAGAAACCTCCCAAGCCTGGTCTTTACCATCAGGCTTTCTATCAGCCTTCTGGTCTCCTGAGCTCTGACCAGAATCTCCTCTACAGAACAGCCTAAGCTGCTCCAACTCTATGCATTCAGGTGACATGTCTGAACCTTTCCAAACTCTGCCCACAAGCCATTTCCAAAGCCTCTTGAAAAACATGGTCAGGTATAGTCACAGCAAACAACCTCACTCCTCAGTACCAAATACTGTCTTAGTTAATTTTTACTTGTTGCTGAGACAAAATACCTGATGACCAAAGTTGGGAAAGGAAAGGTTTATTTCTTACAGTATTTGGAGGTTTCAGTCCATACTCAGTTGACTCCAAGGCAGGCTGGCATGGCGGAGCTGCAGTTCATGGTGGATACAAACAGCAAGGCAGAAACTGGCAAGAGACAGACATGCCTTCTTCCTGCCATTACATCACATCCTGGCTCCACCCTTATGTGGGTGTAGCACTGACACCACCAATCCAAGCACTAGACAATTAACCAGTCACAAATGCACAATGCAAATGCATGAGGCCTGGGGGCCACCCACAAAAACCATGACATCTTATATCTTTGTCTTTTAGAGTCAATTATGAGTTTATTTTCTCATGTTTTCTTCTCTCTAGATGGAGTGAAGTTTGGGTTTCTGAGGCCCGGAAGGTGAATTGATTTTTCTAGAGCCACCTGCATTCCCACCTTTAGTATAGCCCTGGCCACATCAGCCAAGATATGGAACCAGTCCATGCGTTCATGCGCTGACGAGTGGGTGGTAAAATGTGCACACAGACACAGGTGAACACTGCTCACCACAGAAGGAGAGGTCCTGCCACAGACAGATCATGTTATGAGCAATGGGTTGAAAAGTACCGCATAATTTCACTGAAATGAGGAATCTAGGAAAGTGGGTCTCATAGAAACTGTGAGGGGAAGAGTGATTACCAAGGGCCGAGGAGAGCAAGATGAGCAGGGGTGGAGAAAAGGTGGCCAACAAATGCTGACCTACAGTCAGTAAGAAAAGCTAAGCTCTGGGGCTCACTTGCATAGAAGGTGAGTAGGAGAACAGTAACAGAGTGTCTATCTCTGAAGACACTAGAAGAAATATACTAAATATTTGTGTCACAAAGAAATTATGAATATCTGAGCAGATAAACCTGCTTTCTCCAACTCGAGCATTACCTAGTGTATACAAGAAACAAAACGTTACAAGAAACAACACACATACACCTTTTATATGCTAATTAAGACAATGAAAAAAGAAAGAAAATCTATTTTGCAAATATGACCTAATACTTGCATTAAAGAATGGACTATATATTTTAAAATATAAGATGACATATCTTATTTTATTGAACATCATAAAATAATTTATAAAGCTGTTTGATTGCATTAGAAGTTTTATTGTCCTGTCACCTGGCATGTGCATCACACTGTCCCACTCTTAGGGTCATCCCAGCACAGGTGAGCATGTGGAGCTTTATACAAGGACCTCATAGTCTGGGCAGCAAGAGGAAGGGCCCGAGTGTTAGGATGTGATCTACCCGTGACGACCAATATATTGATCAGAAAGGAGAATGTCCTGTCTGGGAGAAGGATAACATGGAAGATTTAAGAAAATAAATTGTCAATAAATGTAAGGAAAATGTGTAGATGAAAAAAATCTCAAGTGGTGAGACGGAGCAGGGGGTCCGGGTCGGTGATAAGTGAGGGCCCGGGACAATTGTGGACCAGGTACTGCAGAGAGGACTCTCAGCTGGCCTCGCCCATGCACTGTCTTGGTGACATAGCTGTACGTCAGAGCTCTGCTTAGAGGGGGCCCGCGCATACGTCGCATACGTAGCGACCAGTGACCGTTCCCTCTGGACCGCTGGAAGCTGTGCCTCTCTGCAAAAGCCTTAGCCCCTGCGGATGGAGTCTGCACCCCAGGGGTGACTTGATCTTGTTCAGATGCCTGATGCCACTTCTTTTTTTTTGGGGGGGGGTTAAAAAACTAAATTTGTAATTTCACATTTATTTTTTTTTAAGAGGAAAAAGAGAAAAACACAAAACAAAACAAAGCAGTGTAAGGTTACACATAATACAGAACTACAAAAAAAAACATAACAGTAAGAAATCACCTGTTAATAGATTACATATTATCATCTTGGAAATAGTTGCTCAAATCACAGTATCAAAGAATACAAAGTAGACATTCAAACAGAGAGACTGCAAACAGCTGTGTTCAATGATCCAAAAATATTAATATAGTCAGCTATTTAACACACCTAAACACACTTGCTGTTATATCCGTTAGAGCTCTTTTTTTTTTTCCTCCCTCTCTTTTTTACAACAAAATTTACACATTTTGGATTTTATTACTCCTTAGTTCTTATTACTTTTTTGGGGGGGGAGAGAATAAAGTCAAATATGGCAAAACAAAGCTGTAAGTCAAAACCAAGGATAGACATAGCACATGATGTAGAACAGAGTACAAGGTTATTAACAATGGTTATCAACATTGTCTCTTGTTTCCTTAAAAGGAATTGTCTATCTCATTAGATATTATAAAGTTGGACTAAACAGTGGAGAACAAGACCAATAAAACTTAGGCATTGTGAACATTACAGGACTTCCAAAGGAGACAATAGTCAAACCAGAATGGGCATCTTTGTGAATCTTATTGCCTTCAAATTAGTTGCCTATACCCTCAGACTTGCTACTATCGCACAGAATGGAACAGAGTCTAATCAGTCAAAACAAGATCGTGGGAGTATTACAGGACTTCAAAACAAGTTAATAGGAGATCGAAAAGAGTTACTCTTATATATCCTAATTTTTTAAATTTTTCCCTTAATTAAAATAAACATAAGAAATAGCTAAATAATTTTTTTAAAGAATAGTAGTTACCATAGTGTCTGTCTTTTTCCTTAAAATAGTTGGATAAAACTTCATATACTATAGCTTCAAATATTTCCATATCAAAAAGCCCAGAATAAAGCCTTTCTAATTAATAAGTGAAAATTTTATAAGGCTTCAAGGCCACATAATGGGGAATCATGATTATCACATATTTTTATATATTTGAATCATTACTTACATTAGGGAAACTATTCGGTATTCATACATGCGAGATTGATTTATTTCACTTATGAGTATGGTCTCAAGCTGCGCCCATTTATTGATAAATATCTCAATGCGATACTTCTTTATAGCTGAATAATACTCCATTGTATAGAAATACCACAACTTTTTTATCCATTCCTCAGTTGATGCCACTTCTGCATAACCTAAGAGAAAAATACTTTTTGTTTTTTGGGGGGGTTCTTTTTGAGGCAGGGTTCCCCTATGCTGTTTCACGCTGGTCTCCAACTCATTTTGTAGCTCAGGTTGGCCTCGAAC